CCTTACTAAAAGTTGTAGGGACCTGCATCATATTTCTCTCCAGTCACCTCATTTTCAGCCTGAAGACTCCTACCATATCTAGTCACTCCTTCAGCAGAGCCACGTCAGACCCTGGCTGCCCCTCTCCATACCTCACCCCCTTCCACCATGCCTAGTTTGAAATGGGGGACCAGAACTGCTCTAGGTAATCAAAATTTGTCTTTACCATGGAATTATACTGGAGCAATAATGGTATTTTTCTGGTTCGTTCTCTACTTCTCCTTAAATAATTTCTAATATTTGATTTCCTTTGTTTTGCCTGCCACTGACATTTGAACCAATGTATTTATATAACTGTTTAGCATCATGTCAGTACTTCATTCCTGAATTTTAATAGTCAGCTGAGAGCCCCTTGTTTTCTATGTGAAGTTAAGATCTTTCTTTCTGCATATTATTTCCATCCACAGGTTTTTAGAGACTCTAAAAAAAAATCTGATCGTAAATGGAACTTTTACCGGTTTAACTTTTCTGTATATATCTCAATACTGGACTTATTCTAGAGTAGATATAATTATTGTATCTATTATATCATGATCTGCTGGTGATGTAAAGTACCTACAGAGATCTAGCAGCAATTTCCTAATGGAAATACAGCTTTTACTATCAAGAGTGCTTTAGCTTGTGTAGATTATACCCATTCCCCCCAGAAGATTAAATGATGTGAGTAGAAGCATTTTTGTGTCCATGTCAATATTTATAACTGTGTCAGCACTAAGGTTTTAGCCAGAATAGAAATTTTGAGAATAAAGTCAACAATCCCAAATGATACTGAGATAGGCAAATTTTTCTACCATAAAATTGATCTCTACTATCAGACATATGGCCTGACAATATGGCTGAAGATAATCTGATGATCTGGTTTTTATTTGGACACTACTGTGAGAAAATAGGTATCTGTATCTTTCCCAAACCACAATAAAACTTGTTGTAGGTGGTGTGAGATGTCATCACATCCCTTTTTTGTTTTACTGTGAAAAGTCCATCCAGGGATCTCACCCACTGAGGGAGCAGAAAGGATGCTAATTGCTCTCCAGTGCTTAAAGGCAGGGACTGCTCTGCTTGTCCTTCTGGAGGACATTGTGTAGATGAAACGTTATGTTATTGTGATGACCCCATCACTGCTATTCTGTATATTCACTGAAACAAGGAGCTTAAGTGTTCTTCTAGCATAATCTATCCACCACTTTCATAGGAAAATTTCTCAGCTCCAACTCCAGAAATATTTTGTCTTTTAATTTCTCATGTTTTCAACCAGTCATTCTGTTCAGTTGGTATGACTGCAGTCAATATTTATGAGTTTCAAAGGCCTAACAAATAATTAAATATTATGAATATTAAAGGTAGATTTTCATCATTCCAGTGTTCTCCTTCTTCAGCATGAATGTTCCATTTCCTATTTTCTGATTGTCCTCAACTCATCACATCTATATATATCCAGTTCACACAGTGCCTGGGCTCAAGGCTGGAGGGGACACATCTGCATGGGGGGGAGCGCATTTCCACATCCCAGGATATGCGGTTTCGGATGTGTTGGGTCCTGCTTGTTGCATCAGCAGAGGCAGAGAGGACTGGGGGGCAGGGGCAGCTGGTCTCCCCTGAGCTTGCCCTCCCCCAAGGGCTGCACAAAGACCTCACAGGCAAAACATGTATATACTATATATAAACCCATGTATAATATACATGTATATTTTATACACGTGTTCACAGGTGTGCATGCACACACATTTATGTGTATATATATGTACAGTGTATTTGTGCATAAGTATTTTGTATATAGATGTATGCATGTATGTATATGCTGGTATACCTCTGGGCACGAAATCCTCCGCTGATAACCCCTGGGGAGGAATTTCCAGCCCGGAAAGCCAGCCTCCCGGCGGCGGGGCTGAGGCAGAGCCCAAGGACCGAGCCCGGACACACGGACACGAGTGGGTCCAGGACACCCCCATGCCCAGCCATCAGATGGAAATCCTCCCGCACCTCGGGGGGCAGGGGAGGGGAAAGGAAAGCAAGCCTTTTCTCTGCTTTTCTTTGTCTGTAATTGGGAAAGAGTTCAAGCGCGAAGCCTTGAGGTGCTTCAGAGCACAGGTAGATTCTCCGCATGATAAAAGCAGACGACCGCTTCTGGGGTTTGCCCACGGTACGAGTGAACGGCCGGGGCCCCCTTAGCCCCCGTATTCACGCGAATAAATAAGCGGAGGGGCCGGTCCCCAGCAGAGCAGAGCGGGTCCCCTTTGTCCCTGCCCCGGCCGCTGCCGAGGGACGCGGCGAACAAAGGAAAACCCCGCGGGGTGCGGGAGCGCCCGGCACCCCTGCCCGGCCCGAGCAGGCTCCCCCGAAGCGGGACACTAAATATTTGAGCAGAATCGATTGCCGGGATGCAGCGGGAAGGCAAACCGGGCGCATCCCTTGCGCGCCGCCTGCTCCTTCCCCCATTCTCCACCATGTGCAGATCGATAAGGGGGACGCAACTCAGCCTTCAGGCCTGGGCGGGGTTCTTGCCGTTTAATCTTTTCTTTTCTCTTCCCTTCGCTGCTTTCCTCCCTCCCCCCCCCCCCCCCCCGCCCCTCTTTCCGTCTCCCAGGCCCAGTGAGGTCAGCTCATGAATATTGCTTCATTTTCCTGAGAGGCTCTGGCAGCGCCGGGTACCTCGTGTGCGGGTGCCCGTCTCTGTGCATGCATTTCGCCAGCCCGGCAGCAGACAAAGTGGTGGTGAGTAATGCGGCTGCTTTAGATCCAAGATATTTTTTTTTTTTATTTTTTTATTTTTGTTGTTTTTTTCCCCCCTTCAAAGAGGGAATATTACTCGGGATTCAGTCGTAACAAACCCGCCAGGTATAAAGGGGGACACAGCGAAAACCCTCCCGCCCCTTTTAAGCCCGGACAAAAGGCAGAAGCGCTCCCAAACCATAAACCGCTGCCGCGAACTGGGATGCGGGAGAGGCGAGGGGCAAGGGGGGCCGGGGGAAACCCTGCCCGAAGCCCCGGCCAGGGGGGATCCCCACGCCGGCGGGTGGAGCCACCGGCCTTCTCCCTTTTGTTGCTGCCGTTTATTTATGCTTTTTTTATTTTTTTTTTTTTTTTTTTTTTTTTTTCCGCCCGGCCAGCTGTTCCCGGCAGGAAAGCCTGGCGCCACGTGGGTTTGCCTCTGGGGAGGAGGTTGTGTGGCGGAGTTTTGGGAGGCCGGAGGTTTCGGACCTGGGCTCAAACGGGGCTTTCGTTGTGTCTGTTAAAAGAAAATAATAAAAATTGGCCAACTGAAGTGTAGGTGGTAGCCGGTCCTGGAATTGGGGGCAGGCACGGTGTGATCCCGCAGGTCGCGGCTGAGCCTGATGACTTTGCGGCAGTGCAACTTCCCGGAAAGATCCAGGCAGAGCATAGGGTTCCCGATTATTATTTTAAATTGAATTTTGAACAGTAGGTAAAAGCAGAGTAATGAGCAAGATACGGGAACTAAGCTGAGTCCTGGCTTTTTGCAGGTTTTTTTAGGTTTGGATTTCAAGAGTGACATTTTGTACCTGTGTAGCTCTGAACAACAGAAGCGTGGGAATTCAGCTTTGTGGTGGTTAATATAGATGCAAAGCAAGTCTTTTATAAAAAAGTGTTGTGATACAAGTGCAAGTTTTGACAGGTTTACACTCCCGTGCTCCCTTTTTACTAACTAATGCCTGGGAAGTTTCTGCCAAATTGCGGTGTTCTGAGCATTAATTTCCAGTATATTGGTTAAAATCAGGGTGATAATGACAGGGCACTTGAGAGGAAACCCTGTGCTCCCGCCAGCGAGAGCAGAGCAAACACAGTCTCATTGTCTAGTATGTTCTAGGGAGTAAACCAATTGTCAGGGTATGGTGTAATGCCTACACTGACTTTACCCACTCGTGTTTCTTTATTCTCTGTTCTAGTAGGGAATGGTTAAGCCACGTTCTAGGAGGGAATCATTAGGCCGTTTTGGGGCTGCTGTTGTTTCTACTTTTGCCTACATTTCCCCTTTAAGGACAATTGAATAAAGGCTATGCAAAAACAGTTTGTGGATCATAGCCATTATTTTCAGAATATGTTAAACACTAGCAGCATGATATGGCTCTTAACAATCCTTTTTAATAATCTGTTATGGCCGTGAAAGGTCTAGCTTTGTCACTATGGGGGAAAATTCCCATGTGAGCACCCTTTGGCAAATACCACATAACATCTCGTACTGGTTGAGGGCGTATTCCTTGCTTCCTCCGTTTTGAAAATCTTCTGGAGTGAGTATGCCTCAGTCCTATGTCAGCATCACCAGTAACAAACCTGAATCAGCCTTAAGTCCTGACAATGCCTCTGGAAAACGAACTGGGAGAAATCTGGCTTTAGAAGCTGGTTGAACGGCCCCTTTCCTTTATGGCCCTCGATTCCTGAATTTCGGAGCCCCAACCTTGTCCCGGAAGGGTCCCTCTGAAAGCCGAAGGGAAATCTGTCGTTGCTTCCACGTGTGCAGCCCTTTGTACAGCGGCCGTTCCCCCCTCGGCTGTGACAGACACCTGGAAGAGGCCTTTGAGCAGGCAGACGGGTGCAGTAGCGACCCGGACCGGCGCTCAGCCTGGCAGAGAGGATGGGCGAGGGGGAAGGTTGCGCCCGGATGGAAACGCCGCCGTGACGGGGCACCCCGCAGGGGGAAGGGTTCGGCTTCGGGGAGGGGGGAAGCGCCCCTAGGTGCAAGCGGAGCCGGTACGGGTCTCGGCCTCAGCCCCGCCGTGTGGCCTCCCTCCCGGCAGCCGCTCCGGCTCTGCGCTGGTGCTTCAGCCTCGGCCGGCCCGTCCCCGGCCGCCGCTGTGCCCGCGGGGCCGGGCTCGCCGGCGGCAGGGAGCGGGCCCGCCGGCGCTGCCAGGGATAGTTCCCCCCCCGCCCCCCCACCCCCTTCCCCGGGCTGTCCTCGCCGCCCCCCACCCCGACCGCCTTCTCCGCTTCTCCTCCCCCAGCTCTCGGGGCGGCGGCGGCGGCGGAGGCGGAGGACGCCGCCCGTGATGGACGCCGCCCCGAGATAGCCGCCGCCGCCGCCGCTGCCATGAGCCAGCCGCCTGCAGGGGGCGCCGCCGCCGAGCCTCGCCTGCACCCCGAGGGCAGCAGCGGCCGGAAGCAGCAGCGAGCCTCCTCCCCGGCCAGGGCCCGCGACACCCCGTCGCGGCCGCCGCCCGCCGCCGCCGCCGCCGCCGCCTCCCGCGGCCCGCCCGCCGCCGCCGCCGCCGCCGCCGCCGCCGCCAAGGCCGCTTCAGCGCGGCCGCCGCCGGGCCAGGCCCCCAGAGCCGCCCGCGGCCGCGCCGCCGACAGGCCGCCGCGCGGCGCGGGGCCGCCGGGAGCTGTCCAGCCCGGCGCCGGTGCTGAACCGCCGCCCGCCGCCGGGAGAGCCGCCGCCGCCGCCGAGGAGCCGCCGCCGCCGCGCGCCGCCGAGGAGGCGCCCCCTGCAGGAGGCGGCGGCGGCGGCGGCGGGGGGGAGCGGGAGCGGGAGCGGGAGCGGGAGCGGGAGCGGGAGCGGGAGGGGGCGGTGGCGCCGCAGCCGCCGCCGCCGCCCAAGCAGTGGCGGGGGAAAGCGGGGCGGTCTCCGCTGAAGGGCGCGGGGGAGGCGGCCCCGGCCCCGGCGCCTCCATCTTCCTCGGGCGCGGGGAAGGGCCGCGGGGCGGCGGGCGGCGGCGGCGGCGGCGGGTACTGGAAGGAGGGATGCCTGCAAAGTGAGCTCATCCAGTTCCACCTCAGGAAGGGGCTGGCGGCGGCTGCCCAGATGCAAACCAAGGGCAGCAACCACAGCAGCAGCGGCAGCGCTTCCTCCGCCGCCGCCTCCGCGGCCGCCGCCCCGGCCGAGCCTCCCCCGGCCGCCTCCGCCTCCTCGCCCTCTGCCATGGCGGCGGCCGGGGCGGAGGGGCTGCGGCAGGGCGAGGCGGGCGGCGGCGGCGGCAGGAGCGGCGTCCCCGAGGGCGCCCTGAGCCCGCAGCTGCAGGAGGAGATGCAGGAAGAGATGGAGAAGCTGCGGGAGGAGAACGAGAGCCTCAAGGTGAGGGGCCGGGGCGGTGGGGGGGGGGGCCGGGGCGTGGCGGTGGCGGGGGGAGAGGGGGGCACTGGGGAGGGCGGCCTCCCCACCCCCGTGCCAGGAGGGGGCTTCCCCACCACCTTCTCCCCCGGCAGGAGCGCTGGAGGCAGAGTTAAGATGGCCCTGCCGTGGGGCCTGCGGGCAGCGGCACCTCTCCGCTTCCTTGCGGTGCTTTTGATGAGCCGGGGTTGTGTCTGGCTGGTGGCCCTGCGGGCAGAAGCTCTCTTTTGGCCGCCTTCCCCTGTGCGTGCTGGTATTTGTGCTTTTGACCCACCTGTTGCGTCCCTGTCCCCTTCTCGCCCCGGTGCCAGAATGAGATAGATGAGCTGAGGACAGAGATGGACGAGATGAGGGACAGCTTCTTCGAGGAGGACGCTTGTCAGCTACAAGAAATGCGCCACGAACTGGAGCGAGCCAACAAGAACTGCCGGATCCTTCAGTACCGGCTGCGCAAGGCCGAGCGCAAGAGGCTCCGTTACGCCCAGACTGGCGAGATCGACGGCGAACTCCTGCGCAGCATGGAGCAGGACCTCAAGGTACAGACATTAGCGGGTGTCAAGGGGGTGGGAGCGCTCTTGGCCCTCGTGACTCGGGCATTTCCATCTGTTCCATCTGTTCTGTCGTGTGCTGTGCACCCAGGGCAGCTCGTAGGATAGCAATGGCCAGGCTCACCTTGCTGATAGAAGCCCTTCAGTACGTAGGTAGGCTGTTTTCAGCTTTAGTTCAATCATTTTTTTCATAAAGTTAATGTGCAAGAAGTGACTTGAATACAAATTAGGATCTAGAGGTTTTGTCTCTTTTGTGATGAATGTAAATCATTACCCTACCACTGCAAAATTAAACCAACCTCACCAAATAGTCCCATTGGCTTTGAGGGGGTTACAGTGCTCTTCAGTAAAGATTTCAGAGGACTAGCAGATTGAATACTTGCAGAGTCACAACACAAAATCGTGACTCCATTGGTGTCAGTGGAAGAACTGCTGTTATCTTCAGTGAAGCCAGGATTTTCCACATCCACCTGAAACCGTAGACACAACTCATCAAATTTCAATGTGTAATCAACTGTATTTCATCTATAGAGTCTGAATGAACCACAGCCCATTGCTGAGGAAGAGTTTCGGTCCTTGTTTAAAGATTGCCATTGGTAAAATATCCACTATCTCCATTCTAGATTGGTCCAATTACAGAAAAAAAAAAAACGCCTTTCTTGTGTTAGTTGGAAGTTGTTCAATCTCTGCTTCCATCCACTTGACTTTGTCAAGGCTCCTACTGAAGCACGACTCCTAAACTTTTTTCAGTTGACTGGTGTGCCATTTCTCACAGAACAGACCTCTGTATAGCACATGTGAGCTTATTGACCACACTTCTGCCTAGGACCCTAGTTACCTATGGCTCATTGGATTCTGCAGACTGCAGTTAAAAATGATAATTTAATACATGATCAGGAACAAGGTAATTTTTAAAATTCTTTCTGATAAGTATAATGGATTGAGAGTCTCTTATTCCTAGGCCTGGTTTACAGACTTGGATCATCTTTTCTGAAAATCTTCCCTCTCGTCATTGTTCTTATTAAAATGTAGAAACTGGTCCAAGACACGCTCTAGTAGTTTTCTCACTAATGCCATCTAAAATGCTCATATCATTCTCTCTATTTCTATTTGATATTCCTTTTCTGTACATATTCAAATCCCACATTTGCTGTCGTGGCCATGGCAGTTCTGTAAGTACAGCTGTCCATGTGGCTCTTGACAAAGTAGAGTCTTCCTGGTCAGAAGCAAAACAACCCCTTCGTCAGGGGAATTTCTGATCAAAGCAAGGGATATTTTGCACACTCAGAATGATGCTTGGGTGAATAGTTGGGACACACACCTTTGCAGGCAGAGTTTGAACGTGAGCCTTCGTGTCCCAAGTGAACACTGTGATTCCAGCTTATAGAGTTGATTTCTTTGTTGTCTAAATGTTAACAAGTCATACGTGTGCAGGGCCCGGGAGGGAAATGGTGAGGGCACCTCAGTTGAGGTGCTCACCTGCAGTATAGAAGGTAGCAGCTAAGGCCTTTGGTTGAGCTGGACAAAGAGCTCACTTTAATTAGGATTTCTCCCATGTCTTTCCCAATAATCATACAACTGGCTCTTTGGAAAGGAACAGTGTTTTTGCAAAACATTGCTATAGATCATGAGTGTGTTCTGCTTTGGAGTAGGGATGAATATCTAATGCCAAATTTCTGCCCAATCGAATTCTGCATGCTGTCTAACAGTACTTGTAACTCACGTGCAGTTCTCTGAAGTTTTCCTGAGTCCCCTTCTGAAGAATTTTTATCCAAATTCATGCTGTTCATTTTGCACAGGTAATATATTAGGGAACTTAATCCTTCAGAGGTACAGTCTTGCATATAGCTGTATTAAAATGCATCTTGCATAAGTGAGTTCCATTTCCCATGCAGTCAAGAACGCTCTGTAGGATTTCCCTGCATTAACTGCTGCTCCACCAAACTTCGTGTCAAAAAAGCACTACCAGGAATGATTTTGTTCTTTGGTTGTATTTACTGTTCCAGACTGTATCTGAAGATGAATTTTGGTAGGATGGTGTTAAAAATGTCCCCTATGATTTTCCATTTACTTTGGTTGGACAACCAGATGAGCAGTTTAATACCAAGTGTAGGAAAAGACATCAAGCTACACCACAGCCCTGTCATGTAATTCTCAGCTCATCCTGCAGTCTCTTTAGAGTATGGTTATAATTGAAATTCCCCTCCACTCGCTCTTTCTGTTGGGCATTATGTGTCTTGAGTGCGTGTGCAGTGGGGGAGGTTATTGAATGATCCTGTGCTACACTGCAGCGTTGTATCTGTAATTCACACACACTGCGTTTCTTGTCAGGGGAGGCTGAGTCACTAGCTGCTGCTGTTTTCTGATAGATTGGATTCTTCTAGACTGCTTGCTTAGAATTATTATATTTTTCTTTAGAGTTTTAGTATGTCAAAGAGAGTTCTTTGATATACAAACATGAAGATCGCTATAGTGAAGGCCATAAAGGATAGTTCTCTGAGCTCCCCCAGCTAATGCTAAGAAGGATTAATTATACTTTACAATGTTCTAAAAAAAGCAGGAAATGAGGATTTTCAAATTCTATGTCTAAATCACCATCATAACAGTAATTAGTGTATATTTCAGTATTTTTGGTACATGATTGTAGTTTCTGGTGGCTTCACAAAATACAGTGCAAGTGGCTTGACTGGCAGAATTCTCATTAGTTTACACGAAGAAGAGGAATTAAATCTTGACATGTGACTTTTAACTCTAATCCTGCGAAAATGCATTTAAAAAACCCCAAACCAAACCAAACCAATCAAAAATCTTAGTGTTCATTTTCAGTTAAAATGTTGGACATCAGTTGTGTGAACAGAAGGTCAGTAAAGATGTAGTTTGTTCATATTTTACTTTTTAAATGAACCAATAGTAGTAAATGCCAGATACTTAGATTAACAGTCCATGAACGGGAGAGAAACCAGCTGGGTTGAAATAAAGATGTGTCAGTTTGTGGTCCTATACCAGGCGCAGGTAGGGAAGGCCTGGAGAAGGTGGGATCTGCTTTTAGATGCTTCTGCAGTATTTGGAGGGCGTATGCCTTAGTGCGTTGGAAAACACAAGCTCGAAGTGGTTGAGAGAAAGTAGATGCTGCCCTGTCTCCAGGAGTAATGAAAGTCCTGTTTCACCGCTGACATAACAGAACCTAAGATAGAGTCAGGGTTTAGTGTCTAATGTTGTTTCCAGTGAAGTCCGTAGGAATAATGTACCATTTTTGAAAGGAGTTGTCTTGAATTTGGCATCATTTAGAATTCTATCTGTGGGTGTCCTTGTCTACATGCTTTCTTACATGCCTCTTCCATCAAAACATCCAGAATTAATCTCTGAATGGTTGCTTAGGCACTAAGCACTGCAGCAGTAATTATGGTTTTTTAATCTTTCTTTTGAAATACCATTTCATTTAGGTTGCAAAAGATGTATCGGTGAGACTTCATCATGAGTTAGAAAACGTGGAAGAAAAACGTACTGTAACTGAAGATGAAAATGAAAAATTAAGACAGCAGCTTATAGAAGTGGAAATTGCGAAACAAGCACTACAGAATGAACTGGAAAAAATGAAAGAGGTTAGTGTTGCTATTTACTTCTACACAAAGTATTTGAAATTCTCAAATTCTTATTGCTGAACTAACTGCCTTTCTTCCTGTAACTTGTTTTGGGGGGCACGAAATGTGGCAGGCAAAAGTTGAAAGTTGCAGAGTCCTGAAGTACAGCTTGGTGGTTGAGAAGCTGAGAACCAACTAAAATATTTGCTGTTTCCTAGGCGAAACAGAAACCAAACTGTGGCTTTATTTTTCCTGTACAAGGAAGGAAATGTGGAACTGATGGTAGCTGATTTCAGAGGCTTTGAGACTTTGTTCTTACAGTAAGATACATGCAGGAAGAGTGCTGAATGGAGTCAGAGGCATGTAACTTTGAAGATGATGTTCCCCACATGTTTATACAAAGACCAGTATTTTTCCCTTGCTAATTGCCACTAGAGACTAGCAGGCACACTGAGACTGAGGATCTAGCCACCTCCCCCACCTTGTTCACTCATGCTCTTTGGAGTATTGGGAAGTGAGAGATTCTACTTGGCCTTTCAGTCTAAGCATAATTTTACATGATATCTAATTAATCTTCAAAATTACTCCATTTGCCATTATATAGATGCAAGACACTGCCATTAAATAAGCAGAAAATTGTATTACATCAGTAATAGCCTGGCCGACAGAGATAACAAAGCATGCAGTAAAAAGAGAAATTGTTGACTAAGAATGACTTCTCAGAACAGTTTTTAGAAATGGCTCTCCAGTTCAGTGTTTAAAATTCAATGAATGCCACTGATTTTCACTTTTAGTAATATTCCTCAGCGGGAATACCAGTGTCTACTTTGATCTTGCATGAAACAGAAGACATGTATTTCAGTTGTTAAGAAAGGCAGGAAATTTTCAGTTGTGTAATAAGTTACAGTATTTTTAGGAGTTGCAAGTGCTTACTTCAAGTGGTGCAATATTAAAAATATTGATGTTTTCTTTACAGGAACTGAATTTCAAACCTATTAATAGAGGATAAACAGGTGTTTTTTTCCACCTTCTACTGCTTTTCCAGATAATTTCAGATTTGAAAAGGACATGAAATCTGAGCCTTATTCAGCTTCCCTCTCCTCTGCCTAAGACTTTCTTCTTTGTTTTCACTCTGCTTTCTGCCATCAAACGCATGACTGTTTCCAGGACCATCTTCTTTATGAGAGCATGATCTTTCCGTAATTATCCTTACAACTTGTTGTTAAGCTTGGCTTTACTCCAAATTATTCATTATCCTTGTCCATTCAGACTCTACTTTCTTGTAGATTCCTATTTCTGGATCCTTTCATCCTGCCTTCTGATACGTTGTACCACTGTAAGCTTTTTTTGCCTCCCTTCTTACATGCCTTTGGATTACGATGAAGCATAGTGGCAATTTAATAGCTTATGTTCTGTGGGATCTGTGCATCTGCAGGAAATTAACCCAATAAATAGGCTTCTTTGTTATCAGCAGTCACTTTTTCCTTATCCTGATTCTTCCCTCTGACCTGCTGTGCTGAACTATGGTTCTGTTGCTCTCATACTGCTCTCCACTTCTTTCTTTGGCTTAGGTGTTTGCCTCTTTTTCTCTTTGCTGATGGTATCAGTGGAAGGATACTGGAGACTCCAGAAGAGAGTGTCGTGTTTAAGCTAGGGGCTATTCTACACAATACTATTTTAATGAAGCTGAAACAGATGGATGATTCCTACTGGCACAGAATGGGGGCACTGAGCCAGAACAGAAAAATGCAGTAAGACTTTACACCAGCGTAGAGGTGGAGTGAACAAAGAGTCAGAAATACATCCTTATACTGAACTGGAGAGGAGAACTGCCATGGCCAGTCATATGTATCATCATAATTAGGCAGGAGTTTTAATTTATGTATTTCAAACAGGCTGCTGAGTCCCTGTCAGTAGGAGAAGGCTGCTTTTCAGGCTAAGACTTTCAGCCCAGCATGGGGGAAAGTTGGGGGATGGCTGAGGAGGTGCAAGTCAGAGAAAAGCAAGTTTGAATTGAAGCCAAATTGTTATGCACTTTGCAAGAATGCTATGACTTGGGGGACCAGTGGAAGGATGCTGGTGAAGAATACTAATTCTTACAGATTTGAAATTTAGAATCTGTGAAGAAGCTATGAAAATGTTAACATGAGACAACCGTGGAAATAACCCAAAGCAGTCTGAAGTACATTAGAATTTTTCTGTGACAAATACCCTTTCTTGTTCTCTGGCAATTGAATTTTTCATACAACTTAAATGTCATTGTCAGACGGTCATAATGTTAATTTTCTGTTTGCTTGTGAGTTATTTCCTCTAGGTTCATGGGTTTAGAACCCTTTCTCATTTCAGTACAGCCATTATAACCAGTGGGACCTCCTGCTTAAGGAAGTTCTACTTAGCATAAATAGAAATGCAGAGTCAAGACCTTTTCTCTGGATTGTGATCTTCACTTCATTGAGTTTAGAATTAATGGAAGAGTTAATCTCCAGAGACAATGAAGCATTTTTATTTTCCAGCATAATAACACTGCTTAGAGTATGTAATAACTGATTTCTGTATTTATATGTCATCAAATGTACCACAAAAACACACACCTTTCCATTTTTCTTAAAATCTATGTGTGACTGTGATGGGAAATTCATTCTCCTTTTATAATGAACAGTGTGAGACAGCAGAGAATGGTTAAAAGACTTAGTATAAATGTTGGAGGCAGAAGCATAATTTTTTGTTAGGTAGTCTCTAGAGCGGGACCAAAGCCAAAGTTGTCTCTGTGTAGATTCTATATTGTTTTAAAGAACATCGTAGACTTGAATGGAAACATGTATAAAAGATAAATGCTAGCAGATGTGTTTTTGTAGAGACAAATCTAGAGTTCTCCAGTGAACATTGGGGTGAATATAGACATGTGAATGTATTTGTCCATTAATACATAGAGAGAGTTGCTATTTGCTTTCTTGGTTTGGAGCTTTAAAAAAAAAAAAAAAAAGATGATATATTCTATGACAAATAGAAGTTGTTGTTGATGGCAGCAGAAGCTTGAAAGCATCCAGGATTTGTAAGGTGTTCCAGCAAAGCACATGTTTTCTATCAGTTACTTTTACTTTCAGTCCCCAAGCCTGCAGCTATTTCTTTTAGTTTTATTCATGCAAATGTCCACACAGAAACACAAGATTTTTGATCTCCATTGTCAGTTCTTGGAATTTATTTGTAGCAACTGCTGCTGATATCGTTTTTATTATTTGTTATTATTAGTAGAAATAGTTTCCTGAAACAAAGAGAAGCCAACTGTAGCTAGATGTAATTTTTTCAGATATAAAAAAAAATGTTAATGACTTGTTCATTAATTTGTTGGTAAATTTGTTAAAGTGTAGCTAGCTCTTGTAGAGCTTTTAACGATCACAGTATGAACTAAGAATTTATTAATTTGCTACAGCTAGTAGGAAGTGCCCAGTTAGCCATGCTTTAGATGGTTTGTTGTGAGACGAATGAAGTAGGGGGAAAATCTGACAGGTGTAGTGGACCCTGGGCTTTACAAATCCTCATTGCAATGCAGCTATGTAATTGCGAGAGGCAATTTTTCAGAGACAGATGTCTTTCTGGATAGAAATAGATTGCTCTGCTACTGCTCCAAGGTGGGCAGATGCAAGACATCTCAGTTCTCACAGCCGCATTAGGGTGATGTTGTCAAGCTACCATTTTCTTCTTCTGAGCATAGGTTATTAGCTCAGATACAGAGCTCGTAATAACCATGGCTACACAGCATGTGAACCAGAGATGTCTTTAGTCCCTTCAGTTCAGACTGCAGGCAGAGGAGTTTACGCCCCCCTACATGGGTCTGTGTTTTGCTGGAGTGGTGCCTGTCTTGTCAGTCAGTTTTGTACACTGCGTGGAAGTGGAAGAAGGCAGCAGGATCTGGGGAACTGAGCACTGGATCTGAGAGGAGAAATCTGAATTCTGTTCCTGATTTTGATACTAACCTGCTGTAGGACCACAGGAAAGTAATTACGCTTTTCTGCTTACTCTTGCAACCTTTGTCTGCCCTCTTTATGCACAGATTAGCTCTCTATACATCTCCAGGTGCTCAGGCTACACAGAAATCAGGAGCGTAGCTGGAAATTTCACAACAAAAGCTGCTGTAAAAAAAAAAAAAACAAACAAAAAAACCCAACAAACCAAATAATGCTTGCCCCTTTCACCCCCCAAGCCAAAAACTGGAGAGCTGTGAAAAGAACTGGTAAGGGATGGTCCTGTCCCAGTCCCCTCGATCACCAATATCAGCTTGCCCACTATGTCTGTGATAAAAATCCAGTGTCTCTCCTTTCTCACAGCCCTTTCTAAGCCCCTTCTGCCATTTAACAACAACCACTTATTTCCAGTCTTTCTCCTATAACTCACAAAGTCTAAGATTGTCCAGGTTCTCTCTCTCAGTCTTGATTTGATCCTGTGTCTGTTTTTTTTTTTTTTTTTTTTGGTGTGCTTTATAGTAGTGGCTGTTTTGCTGTCTTCTGATTTCTAAGTCCTAGTTTTGTCCTTCCCCCTCCTATTCCCTCCTTCCCTGCATCCTTCCAACTCTTCATGAGTGTCCAATCTCCTCTCTGGATTTCAAGTCTTGTCCAGTTAATTTTCCTCTTATTCTAAGTATTTTATTTCTTAGTTACAGCTTCTCTCTTCTGTGAAATTTGTCCCTTCCCCTGATTCGTCCACCCCCTCATACAAATCTGTCAGCTTCCTTGGTTTGATCTGTTCCTTTCCTTGTTTCCAAGCCTTAGCTCTTCACTTTTGCATCTGGACTGAGAGCAGTGGAGGATCACTTACTGTTCTAGGAAACAGCAACTATGTCACTGTCACTGTGAGCACTGTAGAAATGGTTTCTGGTTCTAATGCCTAGACTTGGCTTTATCTAGACCCACATGGAGCAACAATTCCAGGACTAGTTAGGCTTTGCCTTCTGACCTGGAGTTGGAACATAATCTCTCAGGTGAAGAAAGTATGCAGATTGATAGCTTGGGTGGAAGAGGATGTAG